AAAATTCTTTTTCCGATATCTTTTCATCAATTTCTCTCACACCTTAAACCCTCTCCTCGAACTCCCTGCTGCTATCCACCGCCGGTGAAGGCGATGCAACAGCATACGGCGCTGCTTCTCTGCTGATGACCGATGATCCGTCTTTGCCACTGCGGTAATCAGCTAATTCGCCAATTCATTTGAGAGCAAATTGGTACTGGCACAACCAAAGAGATGATATCGCTGTCAGCCTGCTAATAAGTAACTCTCGAAAAAAGATATGACTTCTTTTCAGCACGTGAAGGGCTGTCGTTGATTCTGAGTCGGCAACATCGGAGTGTCCCTCCCTCTCCCACGGCGAATACGAAAGGGTCTAACTTTCTACCATTACCGCACAGGAGCAATCTTCGTCTCAACTATTATAAATCAGTATTCAGTGTGTGAGAAATCAACGATGACAGTTTGGACTGCAAGCTATTTCTCTGAGAGACTGTTAATTTTTACCAGCTGCATTGCGATCATGGCGACAGTTTTCAGCGAGAATTTTCGATCACAGAGATCGAAGAGATCTTCCAGCGAATGCCCCAGCAGTTCCATTACCAATGCATTGTATTTACCGCATGGTCCAAAGTAATGCACTTGTGGTAAACCTTCTGCAAATATTTTCACATCCAGAATACAAAGAACCTGGGGACTTCTGTACAAATTCCTCCTTTCCAGAAAAGACAGCCCTCATGGGAAAGTGTATAAGGATTGTCGACAGATGTATGGAAGGGCCATCGGAGAACAAATTCCTTTACAACAGAAAAGAAACAAAAATAATGAGCGGCAGGCTGAGAACTGTGTGAAGCAGCATCGGTCACAGCAATCACTGAAGAATTTCGGTCTGCCTACAGCATACTACTCAAGCGTGGATAAAATTCAGAAAATTCCGCATAAAACAAATAAAATGGCCAACGCACCGACTGCCGGTGCAAAGATGCGTTTTTTGCATTTGTTGCTAATGGCACCAGTTTTCCGCCAGATCTTCTAACTAAGAGAACTGAGACTGGCTACCACGGCTGTCTGAAAACATCCCCTTAAATTGTCAGCTTTCTAGCTTTTCAGGTTCCCGAGTTAGCAACTTACCCACAAAAAATTTTCACCGGTCCGCACAAGACCATACATAGCTAGGGGTAAAGCTTGAAGTCACTGAGTTCTACTTAGACGGGGGAAATCCCCTTAAAATTTCAGCTTTCTAGTTTTTCAGTTTTCCAAGTTAGCAACTTACCCGTAAAAACTTTAACGGGCCCGCAACTGAGAACCAGACATACCCGAAGGCTTGGTCTGAACTCACTGAGACCTACGTGGGTGGGAAATATCCCCTCAAAGTTCAGCTTTCTAGCTTTTCTGATTCCCGACTTAGCAACTTAGCCGCAAAAAACTTTGACGAGCCCGCACGCGCATAATGGATGGATGAATATATAACGTGTTTGTAGATTAATTTCCCAAAGTTTCCGCCCTGTAACTTTTACAGGTCTCGAGATAAAAAATCGATACAGACGAATAAACAGGCAAAGACACACACACACATACACAGACAACCCCTCGTCAATATGAGTTTTCGCATTGCATATATGCAAAAACCCCATAACAGAAAATCATAAAAGAGAAGGGATGACACATAGCTGCGTTCAATTTTTTTAGAATTCGCACAATAAAAGTTCAGGCAAATGGCAGAAGGAGACCTTGCTGGCCGAGAAGTTTGTAGAAGCGGTACTCGAGATGAAGCTGCGGCGCTTTACTCTTCATCGGCTCCAGCTTGATCGCTACGTGCTCATTGTTGTACAAATTCTTCCCGAGACGTAATTCCCCGAAATTGCCACAACCGATCTTTTTGCCCACCTGGAACATTCACCCCACTAAATGAGGACAGTCAATGAGTGCCATGGCAAATCACAAAAGAAATCCATCCAAAATAACATCACTATGTACACTGTACAATTTCATTTACATTATTAGTTCATGTCAATCTCCAGCAGAACAGAAAGCATACGTTCATGGTTTTTCGGAAAAACAAAACAACGGTTTTTTATGAGTTTGGAAGATTTTCAAAGCCAACAGAGCCTGAAATGTTAATAATGCTACCGGGATGTATGTGTCCGCGTTACAGTGCTCTTAGACGATTGAAGGAAAAAAAGCACAGTGCTCTCTTGCAAGGAATGCATGGGAGACAATGTTGGAAAGGAGCTGAAAACCTCAGTATGCTGGCCAAACGTCTAACAGTTCGTCGAATAAATACAACGATTGTCTTAAAATAGCTCCAAAACAGCCCCTACTTTAAGGTATATAAATGTAATCTAGCGGCGCACGAATCAGAAGGTTATCGCAGACAGAGACAGAGAGAGAGAGAGCAGACACAATTTTCAAAATTACCTTGAAATTGGGTCCAACCATGAGAACCCCGGTGGATGCAGCTGTTGAAGCGGACGCTGAAGAACTCGGTCCCCGTGCATTTGTCATGCCGAACGATGATGCTGCTGCTATTTGCAAGCTGCTACCTGTATCTGTAATAGTCCATTAGTCGGCGCAGCTCATACAATGCTAATTCCTGAGGATTAGAAATGAAAAAGTGATCGAAACGCTGCTAACTTATAACATAAATGAACATTTGAGGAACCTAAAACGGAGAGCTGAGGGAGTCTAATAACGGCACCCCACACCCACTGCTTCGGCAATTTTGCCCCATTCTAGATATTTATAGTATACTTCTTTCTGTCACATCTATCTAAATGTACCAAAAAATTAAGGCTGAAATTGTGTTTTGAAAAAACAGATCAAAAATACCGGGTTATCAGTGTGGGTATCTCCTGTTACTGATGCGCATTGGATGCTCCCAAATGCCGAGAGCAGCTACGCCAGCCGCTTTGATGCTGAGCTGCTCGGCTTCAGTCAGTACCCCCTGCCTGTTCGATGCATATGTATGTGCTCCGATCGAAAATTACTTCAAAAGGCCGGTGTTTCATGTCATTCCAATCTCTTTGTATGGTTACGGACATCAGAGCTATAGAATCTGATGGCCAGCCTGCTCGTAATTTTATTGATCGTTTCAGTGGCCTTTATGTGTTTTGTGCTGTGTAACAGCAGTACAAAACGCATATTGTCACGGGATTGTCTGTGTGTGTGTTTGTGTGTGTGTCCCACATTTTGCCCCGCACTTTCAACTCGGGAACCATAAAAGCTAGGGGGTTGAAACTTTGGTATAGCGTTCCCGCCAACGGGTGACGCGGTAAATTTAAATTCAGCTTTCCCGTACCCGCGGGTAACACTTACGGCTCTTGAAAGTTTTTTACGGGTAAATTATTACCCCGGGAAACACGGGGTCTAGGAAGCTGAAATTTTAAGGTAATAACTCCCTGCCCACGCTCAACCTTGCCTAGTCAAATTCAGCGTTCCCTCGCTGTTGAGTATCATTACGGCCTCGTGAGAATTTTGGTGGCTAAACTATTAACTAGGGAATCACGGAAAGATATTCACCCTTCAAAGTTTCGAATTCAGCTTTCATGCGCTGCTGCGTGAAATGTTTAACTATTTTCCAATTTTTGAACTATTTTTGCATAGACAAAAGTACAAAGCAGTGAAAATCATTAATAGACAATCGTTCAATGGGCTGAATTGCACAAAACATATGATCGCATTGGCTAGTCTGGTGCGCGTTGCTATTTATTTTTTTCTTTCGTCCTGCCGAATGCTTGCCATATGCGCGGTCTTTTTGGAGCATCTGCTGACCACCCCATCCTGCTCCTCAGTAACGGCCGTCTCTTTATCAATGTAGACGACCCCTCATGCAGAGAGCTTTGAAATCATACTTCTTTCATCTGACCCCAAAGAAAACCACTGTAATCCAGGTACATCGGCACGCTCCAGAGCCACTATCTGGGCGATCAACGAAAAAACAGATGACAGAGAGCCGGCTAATGCTGGGATACAGAGCACATCGATTTATGAGGAGGACGATTTGTCAAAAAAAAGTAATACACAGACCTTGTAAAGATTGTAAGATATGAGCGAAACGTTGGCCGCCGCCCAGAGAAGGCCCAGCGGCTCCAGAAAATTTCGATGAGCGCTGTGTTGACACCCGTCTGAAAGTGCACAAAAAAAAAACGTGAGAAGAGGCCGGTAGTGCATGTGCAAACGACCAAAGCGCATTCAGAACACAATCCATCGAGAACAAACCCAAAACGAATGAAGCAACAGTAGCCGCCGAGCAAATGCACTGCGAATCAGCGTGGCGCCCCAGTGAGCTGGCACTGCTATCGTGTAGAGTAGGTCGAAAGCCCGACTTTGCCGGTGGGACAACCAATCCCTCTACGATTCGTTTCGATGGTAAATTGGTACTGGCTTATATCAGGGAGTCAAACCCGCCATCGAGCAACTCTCAGAAGGGAGAGCACCTGCCGTCGGCTAGTTGCTATTAACATTTGCTACTTCTCGGGCTACTTTTTGAGTGCTTCCGCTTCCTAATAAAAGCGAAATACAAAAGGAATTTTGGCCTTTAAAACTAGCAGCTTGTCGAATTCAGGTACGAGGCTGACACAAAGCTAGTTCACACCAATATTTGGCTGAACATCACCAATGCTAATGCCACGAAAGTTTTTTCCAAGTTACCGGCGCAGGCCGATGAAAGGATAGGCTAGCGGTACAAGAAATGCTTCAGGGACAAAACGAAAACACATCAAATTAAAGCTTTTTCGACAGAAAAACCACACCGGCAATCAGCTTACTCACGCGCCAAATACTTTCTATCCTGAACTATCTGGGCTGTGCTTGCACCCGCCAGCTCCACTATTCTCTCACAAGCATTCGCAGTGCTTCTCGCCTTCTTATGACTGAGTCTAATGAAAAGAAACAGTAATCAGCAAGTAAGTGATTGTCGGATTTTACTTTGCTTATCGGATTTTACTTTCTTGTGCGGTCATAATGGAATCATACACGTTCCTGATCACTTTATGTGATTAA